GAAAAGGCGTGATAGCTAACATTGTAACAAGCCAGTCGAATCGACAGTAACATTTTCGTACGCCACACTAATAGCTCACATTTCCAGAGATTGTTTGGCAATTTGCAATTACTCGCGTGGCGGAATCGCCAAACGTGGGCTATTAGTGCAGCGGGCGATATAAAAATTTCGAATTCGCGAATTTCGAATGCAAATCGGGCAGTTCTGCGATTGTCGTACGCGTCGCTCGTGCCCCATTTAGGCGTGACGAGCGTCATATTTGCGTTATTTTCGAATTGCATATGCATGCTTCGCTTTATGACTTTAAACTGGAACAATCCTCTCTAGATCTGTCTTCTATTCGTAAGCCGTTTGACTTTTACTTCGTTTAAAGATTATCTATGATTTCAACTCTACATTGTAACGACATAAGTTTCTCGCCACTCACATCTAGTAGTTACCGTGAGTGCAAATTTCTTTTAGAAGACTAATAGGATCTGCTGCGTGTGAACAAACTTCAAGAACTAAGCCACCGTCATAGTGACGTAGGACCCAGTCTAACTAGAGCGAGTGCCCGCTGCTCTACCCTGAAATATTTCAGAGAAGTCACACACAAATATGTCAAAATTTAAAAGCCGACTTCCATTAAAACATTTTACAAGCCACTGAAAACGATAAGCTAATTTTTACCATCTAATGAAGTGCCTAGATTCTATCAACACTTTCTATCTGTGGTCATGAGAAGGAATGATATTATTTAAGACGTTCTACTGTTGACCTAACTAGGTTGTTGTAGTTCAAGGTACGGTTAAACTTTTAGTTCCGTATTTATTTTAGCCCCGAGTCAAATATTTATCCAATCTTGCAGTGTCCGATGTGTCTGTTTTTTTTTTTTTTTTTTCACTTAAAGGTGTACATTAAATTTTCCGTTTCGCATTCTGCCAAATGTTTATTTAAAATGTGTTTCGTAATTTTAGTAAATGTAATAAAAATCATTATTAAAATATGTAGAAAAAGTACGAAAAGATTGTCGCCGCTGTGGGAATCGAACCCACGTCTTCGGCATTCGCGGCCTGACGCTCTAGCCACTGAGCTAAACGGCTGATTACCACACCGACGAAAAAACGCATTCTTCCACATTGTTTTCTTAGCATTTGAAGCAATGCTTGGCGCCATCTATGGGATATATCCTTTCCAGCATATAAACAATTTCAAATATCGTTTTACAACGATAATTCGAACAAGAGATGTCGCCATTGCTTTTTTAGAAATTTAAATTGTTTATAGTGCTAATCTTTGCACTTAAGATTGAACATTAAAATATGTAGAAAAAGTGCGAAAAGATTGTCGCCGCTGTGAGAATCGAACCCACGTCTTCGACATCTCTCGTTCGAATTATCGTTGTAAAACGATATTCGAAATTGTTTGTATGCTGGAAAGGATATAACAATAGATGGCGCCAAGCATTGCTTCAAATGCTAAGAAAACAATTTGGAAACGTTAAGATTTTCGTCGGTGTGGTAATCAGCCGTTTAGCTCAGTGGCTAGAGCGTCAGGCCGCGAATGCCGAAGACGTGGGTTCGATTCCCACAGCGGCGACAATCTTTTCGCACTTTTTCTACATATTTTAATCATTATAATATGTCCCATTGTTGATCAAAGGCCTCCTATGTACGCAGAGTTTTACGGCACAATCCACCATGCAAATCCACACATCTTCCAAATATTTTTTTTAAATATTTAAATGCATGTTTGCCTACTATGTTTTCTATCATCGCTGAGCACATGATAGGTCAGCATTTAAAATTGTTATTAAAAATTTTACTGATGCCGCCGGCATTGGGATTTGATCTCAGGTTGCTCGTTAATTAAAAAAAATTAGATCCAGGTTGGCCACCCATTTGTTTCATTTTTCTTATTCTGACGGGGAGAAATTTTAAAATGGTTCCCAGTGGATTGTAAGTAAGTACACTAATGAGAAGTGGTTACATTAGTTACCATTAGGTAGCCTTCCTTAGTGTGTGGAAAAGGCTTCACGTTCTCCTCAACCAGTGCTTGTGTGATTGCATAAACACTCTCCAGGGATGAGGAGGGAAGAAGTTGGTAGCTTTCGGGGCTTCCTCGTTATTCCACTAAAATATAAATCCATCTAGGGTTGTCACATTCACATAATCCACTCACTGAAATAGATTTTGTGAGGGTGGCAACTTGTGATGCAATCGGGACGGACTCAGTTTCCTTGTTAATCACCTTTACGGCCATAAATGAATGGAATTTTTTTTTTAAATGAAATATGTATAAATATCAACATAGGAAATTGAAACATCAACATGAGAACTGTTTCTTACAAAGGATAGTATAAAATCGTTAGTCATTTCAAGAAATGTATTAATCAAAAATAATTTGCGCCGCATTAAACACGTAATGTACGACTTTTTTGTTGGCATTTTTTATAAGAAGCATTATAAAATTTTATTATATGTCCAACAAAGACATGCTCAATTTTCTTGAGTTGTGACCTTTATATAATAGAAGCCTGTGTTACCGGAACTTCGTTAGAATTGGTTCAGTCATTATTAGCAGAAAATTTTAAAATGTTTGAGTTTTAAAAATAAACATTCTTATTTAGGATCTTTATGACCACTGGGAATTCATTTAATCATGCTATTATAAACTTCTTTTGTCAATATTTCCTGCCTGCCTATATACCTGCAAGTGGTTGTGTTTTTTATTTATCAGTTTTCAAGGTGGTTGGGGCTTTATGGTTATACGTTAAGTTCTGAGTGATGTATTTCACAAACCTGGTTTATATATTTTACGTGCAAAGTTAACAATCATGAATACGGTAAAGATCGACATTTTTGTAGAAGTCCGTTTCGGACTAAACGCAACATGTAAAGCTCGCTATCAGTGTCCACCTTGTTAGGGTGAAAAGACGTGAGCGGTAAATAAGCCCTTCGTTCTACCGTCAAAATAAGGCATTATTTTTTTATGTTGGCGATGTTGCAGATGCGCAGCCAACATTAAAAATGGACTTTAGCTACCTCACTCATGAGATGTAAACCTGAAAGAATAATACTTCCACTTCACGCCAGTCTACTGTGAGCCCGTGGTACTTACCCGGACGAGCCTGCCCGTTCAAGAGCAGAAGCTGCGTGTCTCTACTACAGTAGAGTATGCAGGCTTTAGATGTAATTAATAAGTTCATTCGATGGAAATTTGGGTCATCCAATGAAAACTTTTTTATACGACAAGCTCGTAAATAAAGCGTTTCGTCTGTTCAAAATAATCACATTTTACGTCTTTCCGCAACTGGGGTTTGAGAGTGCGTTGCCAATGTTTAAGATGGTGTGGAGTAGACAGCCGATACGTTCGCGCATCTGTACATTCTGTTCGTGTAATAAACTGTTATAAATGTAAATGTTAAACGTGAACCTATTTATCGTATCCCTCACAAGACTATGCCTTCGACTGCGTAAATGCAAGAGTATACTTAAGGGATGATGATGTCGCATTTCCACGGATAGTCGACCAATTTAGAGGAATGGCCATCCTTTAATTTGTTTGATTTTTTCTCGGTTTTTACTTTGGTTACAATTTCTGAAGTTTCGAACAATTTACAGAGTCCGTAAGTAGGGATTAGTTATAGTTATCAACATTAGTAAACATTAAAAAATATCTTTGATTTACTTTATACTTCCTCCCAACACTATTCATTTACTAATTTTCGCCATTTTGTTTTGCAAAACATACCTTAAGCAGGACCTTTTTATATAAGTAAGAAACCACCAACCAACGGTCGGTAACTGTTACAGGACCCCGATTTACATAACTACCATTCGTTTCGCTACTCCGAGCGTGAATTACGAGTACCAGGGACTTTTCCGTCACGTAACACGTTATGTGGCATCGAAGAACGATATCATTCGAGTACCGATTGAGTGCACTAATTGTAAAATATTGCAATAAGGGACCCGAGAGAAACGATCTATCTCTTCGCGTGAATGTGAAGGGTTCTTAGAGGCGATTTTTGATATTTAAGGTTTATTTTTTAAGTTGCGAAACACTTAACACCACAACCATAGTAAACAGTAATAATGCGAAAGAACATAATAGTCTTGAATAATTAAATAATTAATTTGGAACCATGCTCTCCATAGACAGTAATTTAGTTTCTAGTTTCTAGGTGAGATATAACGTTCAACAATGAAGAGAAGCTTCTTAGGGTCAACTTTAAAGACTGATTTGTACACAGATCTAACCTTTTTTTCTATTTGTATTTACGCGAGACCTAGGCTTCGACTTGACCTTGTTCGTCTATCAACTAGGACAACGTTCTGGAATGAACCACTGGCTAAAACGCGCGCAGATTTGAAGAATAAATACGCATATACACCGAACTCACGAGGAGACGTGCAATCTGGTGACTCCAATGCTGTCTGATAACTCCGTGGCTCAGTTGCCAAGCTATGGGCTTCGGCGTCAGGGGTCGTGGGTTCGATTCACACACGGGTATCTATTTGTGTGACCCACAGATAATTCTATCCGACCTGGGTGTTTTTCCACGTGAAATTATTTATGTAAAACGTTCTTACTAGAAAGGATAATGTTATCCTGTTCGTTTGTACGAATGTTAGCCTGTTCTCTTTTTAAAAAAAACGTTGCCTTTAGGATAACGCTACCCTTTGTTGTAAGGACGTTTTACAAACATAAATTTCACGTGGACAAACGCCCAGATGCGAAACAACCATCTATGGGTCACACAAATAGTTAAACATTGAGGGCGTTGGTTTTTAAAATAAAAAAAAATCCGTTAAGAACAAATGCACCCGCCTCGACCAACGGCCACAGTGTAATGAGCTTAACGGCGTACAAAGAGTATCCTTGGGAGTGGAAAAAATGCCCAGCGGATCGAAGCCGCCCGTTCTCAGACCGTCGCGTATATAAGCGGAGTGCGCTCCAAGTCATCATCATTCGTTCGTTGACAACTTGAACATCAACACAGAAACCATCACATCACCATGAAATTCCTGGTAAGTGTCGATTATCTTAAAATCACATAACATTGGAACTTAATCATTGGTTTTGCCAGCCAGCTCGTTTTACCAAATTTTCACATAAAAACATTGATTAATTCATAAAATAATTTCCGAGCCGTTTAGTGTAATGGATAGTAACCTGCCATCCTGTCTCTAGTGCCAGAGGGTGCGGGTTCGATCCCGATGTGTCAATATATGTAAATCAAATTTGTAATACTTTGTTCCACATTATAACATACAGTCTTATGTGTTACCAAAATTACTTATAAATTTGGTATACTATTATTATTGATTGCACAGACCCACTTTAAATGTATTGTGGAAATTCTAATGTTTGGGAACAAAAAGGACTTTTAGAGATAGTCACTGAATAAATCAATCTAGAAGTTGCAAGTGTTGCAAGTATTATATCGTGAGTGTCTTCAACGGAAGATCGAAAGGCGACCAATTAGCGCCCACCTAAACGTGAACTAGAAGTCAAGCAGTTAAAATTAATAAGAAATGTAAATCACGTAGATCCGTAAGATAATAGACATCAAAATCCATACACTATAATATCACTTAAAATATTTTTTTCAATCTGTAACACTCTTTTCATAACATCGAGCTTCACAAATACGATATCGCAGCACCTGTGTAGGAATAATTTTTGCATAATACTCTCGGCACTGCCTAGAAAACGGAAGGGTTTATGTGCGATTACCATAATTTGATCCCGATACATCGTAATGTCCAATATCGACAAATTTAAAGAGGCAATGGCAATAGCGACAAGTACTTTCAGACTCCCTTTACATCTTAAATCAAGGAAAGTGTCAAAGATTTTTAGTTTTCTTATGTGTATTCGAAATTAGGTAATATTTAATTTCCCTTTCGGAACGGGAGTTTTATATGGATTCCTATCCTTGTTTCATGATGTAGATCACGATATTATTACGATCGCTATCATAAAGCTAAATGTGTGTGTTTATTGTGAATGGATGCCATTCACAATAAACACACACCTTATTTAGCCACTTTATACCAAGTTCTAATAAATTCTAATTAGATTGACCCGATATTAAAACTTTAGCATAAAAACTTTTGTTGCATCTTAGAATCAAATGTAAGAACACTACAATTTCGATACGAAATAAATTGCAGATGTCTAGTGACTTTAGATCTTATTTATTTATGCTAAAGCAATTTTTTTCTCGATTATCATTATAGCTATGTTGGAATATTGTAAAATCAGTACTGTATTACATTTTCTGATGAATTTGGAATACTTTTTGTCATAAAAAAACATGGAAGGGACTTATTAAGTAATATATAAAGTTATAAAATCGTTTGTGTAATGTTCACAGCATTTATGATGTATTTTTATAAAAACAAACATGATGCATAATAAAGTTAATGCATGTTTCGACCTAGATCAGGTACCAATCACAAAAACTGTTTGCACAAAAACTGGAAAGTTTATATAATTAATAACGAGTACAGCATTAATGGATTAATATTCTCTGGTGGTTTTTTAATAAAAATACGTCCGAAATAACGATTAACGGTTCCGTGCCTCGATTTTATTGTTATTGTACGAAAACTAGCCTTTTTTTTATTCTGGCTTCCTTTTCGTTTCGAGCAAAACGTTACCGGGATGTATTTCCCGGCGCAAATTAAAGTCGCTCACCGCCGCTATTGTTTCGTGACACCTCGATAATGCAAGGAAATTTTACAACCGGGCAACTCATTCGCCCCGAAACTGCGAACAATGCTGTACCTAAACTTTTCGGACGACCGAAGCAGGGGAAACGAGGTTGCCCAACGTCGGCCTGAGCGCCGCAAATTGTGCATTGCACATAGCGACGGTCGAGCGACATAGATGTCCACTTGTGTCTCCTAGGGCGTGGAAGGTTGCCAAATGGTATTTACGACATGATGGGGCCTAGATTGCGAAACGGTTCTTTAACTGCACTTTTTAATTACGGAGTAACCAATGCTTTACCAACTTACCAACTTTTGATAGCTGGGGACACGGATTTCGTAGTTTTCCGGACGACCACGCCTATACATGAAAGGGAAGGGGCTCTGCATGGCCCTCTCATACATTGAAATATTATATTTTATTTCAAAACAAAATCAACTTAAAGTAAATTGTAACAATTTAACAAATTTCTCAATATTAATCTGGATCACATAAAACTTCTATAGTACATTACTTAGAGTGTAACTTGGCTACAGATTGTTGCTGCCCTCGCCATTGCTGCTGTGTGCGCTGAGGAAGCCAAGAAGACCGAGAAGCGTGGTCTTTCGAGTCTTGGATACGGCGGTCTTGGCTATGGCGGTCTCGGTTATAGCGGTCTCGGATACGGCGGCCATGGCGCTGGATACGGAGGTTATGGTGGACTAGGATACAGTGGATACGGTAAGTTCATTATAATTAACATAACCTCTATTCATACAAAACATTCCACTGGATCTATGTTTATTATATTGGGCTCGAATGCTCTTAACTTTTGCGCCAGTTCTGGTCTATGTAAGTTCAAACCAAATTAAACAGACTCTTGATGCATCGACTTGATAAATGTTTTTGTGTTTTCATCGAGTTCAGCGTATCATTTCAGCGTTCTATTATGGTCAGGAGCGACATTCAATATTTTGTTAATAATGCAAATTGAAGTGCGTAAAATCAAATTTTTCATGTATAATAATATAATCACTCAATTGAACTGGTACTGGCAAAAGAACATAGCGAATGGTTCTTAAGCAAGCGAAAGCAGAATTCTATAGAGACGCTGAATGCTCGAGAAATTCAACGTCAAACTTTAAATTGACCAAAAGCTTTCATCCGAGTGAAGCTCGCGTTTACCCGGCTAGTTTGTATTCGAAGTGTTGATTCCCTCCGATGTTATAGCTCCGAATAAAACTCTTAACCGCAGTTTGCTTTGAGTCATTGGCGATTCTTTTGGATTATTTTCAAGGAATTCTTCGTCCTTCACTCAATATGCGACGCTGAGTTTAGTGTAACGTTTTATTCCTTTCAGACTTAAAAGGATGAGTATGGTGGTTTTGACTTTTTAAGTATGAATACATTTATATCGTTCATATAAATGTTTTCACACTTTTATTTGCAAGGTTTATAGTGAAAACAGCATAGACGACACAAAAACCTTTTTACCATTAACCAAAAAACAAAATCGAATTCAAATACTCTCTTAATAATAAATACTCTAATACGCAATAATAAATACTCTTCTCACTCACTGTACATTTTCTATTTGATATTGAGGAGTTTCCTGATCTAACTCCGGAGTCCAAGGTCCAATGAAATTAATATGAGTCCACCTCTAGACTATATCCTTTCAAATACGAAAGAAATTTCAATTTGTTTCTTATTTCATTTATATTTATTATTTTAAATCATGCTTTGAACTACCCCTAAAAGCTATACCTAAAATAGTTTACCTTTTTATTTACTCTTTACTGGAAACCAATCTCAACACATACCTATATCCGGTGCTACTAAACAAAATCAATTATGTACGTCTATAATAACTGTTTCTTCGTAAACCTGTAATAACTGCGGTGCCAATCGAGCCGCAATCATGATGACTAAGTACAGTGTCAGTGCTGGCCGTTTGCGTGCCAAGGATCCTGGTTTCCCACGTTTCCCAATCGTCTGATGACTGCACCATTGTCTGAATATGTGGTACATGGCGCGTTCAACAATTAGCGAGCATATATTCACACTTAAGGCCCATTTACACGGTGCAAGTTTCTTGCCTGTAGTATACAATTAAATTGAAGCAATAAATGAGTTGCATGGTCTAAACAACAAATGGTCTAACAAATTATTGCGCGCAATTTATTGCATTCAATTATTGCTCTTGTATGTACAAGAAAATGGCATCGTGTAAATGGGCCTTTATACTACGCATTATAGAAATACATTTTTAAGGAACTTTACATCGTTTAGTCAATTTTCAAAGCTCAACTGGTGTCATTTATTGTTCGCTATACGATAAAGTGGATGTTGAATAGCGTTAGTAATTTGAAGACGAAATTTTACATGAACGACACATGTATGCATAAATTCGTATAGCTGTGTTGTTTTAACCGTGAGGTGAACCAAAATTAAATTACCATTAAATATTGGCAGTTAAGTTAAATATTGATGCTAATTTCATATCTTACATTTCAGTTTTGAATTTTTTTTTAATTTAAATTAATGTTTTTATTGTTCACTTCCTACCGAACGTAAAAGGAAAGTCCGACATTTTTTAAGGGAAGTTCAATTATGTTAAAAAGGATACAAATAGCCAAGCATCCTGCCTCGGTAGTTGAATATAAATTACCTATACAAAAGTAACCAGAATTTCTAGTCAAACAGAATGCGAAAACCTCTACCGTAAACTGAATTTCATAATCGGGAGACCTTCATACTTTTCTACCTGCTCACCGACTTGCGCAAACTTTAACGCAACTTATACGTTATTCCCAACTTTTGGTCAAAACAACTTCAAAATTCCCAAAGGCTCTTGTTGCTGTAACTCGATTTTTGCTTATCTTTCCCGTATTGAGAATGCCGAACGGAGTTGCCAACAATAATTTTATACCGGCATCGTAAATTTTGGAAACTGTTTTCTGAATTATTCCACGTGTACTAATGCTGCCGTCTAGTTAGTTTGTTTTCTTTATCTGGAAAATTGGATTAGCCCTCGTTCTATTTACTTTTTTTTTGTAACTAGCAATTTGCTTTGTCTACGCTACCTCGTATATTAGACGAATATTCATAAAACTCAACGAACCGTTCAGTAATAGGTTACCTTCCACAGCTGTTGACGTAGCTTTTTATGCATACGGAGTCGTCGATATAGCTATATAACTATAACCGACAGTTTTGTTATAAAAAGAGTGTAACTTTTTGCCATTGATTTTGACATTAATTCGCTGTTTTTAATCAAATCGTATCCTTTAAATTTTTTTTAAAACTTTACTAGTTTTTAAACTTATCAATTTGTCGATTGCCAACAGACGATAATTATATACTTAGATATTAAAAATTGATGTGATCATCTTTCAAAGGATGTTGCCATCTTAAGGACCGTCCAGATAAATTATTTACCGGACACTTCTAAGTTTCGTTGGTTATTAAACCTAAATTGGGAAAAAACACCTGTTATTGTCGTGAAATATTGTAAAAAATAGACCAATTTCAGAATTCCCCAACATGGCATCGCTCTGACCTTCACATTGGACGGTATTCTTTGGGCCTTTTACGTTACTCAAGCGGTACAATCGCTTGAAGGTTAGCCCGACCGTCCATTCAGTTAAAACGTCTAGTCACAGTCGACTTGCTTTGGAAGCAAAAAGCGCTTTATGCCTTTTTTAACATATAAAAGGTTATTCCAACATAAGGGACTTGAAATGTTTTTCGTTTTTTCAGTAACTTCAAATTTTCTATTGGTTCTGAATTACACAAACAACTTATTTCTTCGTCAAGTTTTAATTTAAAAACTGGCCACTCAACCAGTTCTTAAATTAAAACTTCGTGATAGTCATTTGGACATTATCGAGGGAATTAGCTACGTAATAAACAAAGTTTAAAAAAATGACAATAACCCGTTGTGATTACAATAGAGATGAAAAAAAGGATAATTAAACTTTACACGGGACCGTAAAATTTATTCAATAGCAGCTTTAGCCTTCTCTTAGTATGATTTGAGACATTTTTAAGTATGATTTAGACACTTTTTGTACAGTCACGTGCCGTGGTAATAATTGTTAATTGCAGATTAAAATGCTCATTAATTACGCACTCCCGTTTTTTTTTTATTTTGCACTATCAAGGCAACATTGGAGGATACCGCGGTTCGAACATAGATTTAGAACAAGGGTTTACCATCTAAATGACAACGCCTTATAATTTTATTGACTAGACATGGCATTGCAGATGAAGATGCTCTGTGAGAGGCTTCAAATTTTAATTCAATAAACATTCATTAATTTCAAGAACTTAATTGACTGGACTCGGCCTCAAACCTCAGACCGGTCAAGCATAAACTTTGGAAGCGTTCATAGATATATATAACATAGATAGAGATAGATTTATGAACTCCGCGAGAGCTTCATTTAGCCCGACTAGCAACCGATCTAGGTTCGGTCCTCTCGGGCACCCTAAAATCGGAATGCCAAACGGTCATTGAGTGGTAGCCCAAGCCGAGTTCCCCTCGAAGCTGTCGCTTGCACCTAGTTAGTCCACGGACCGTCCGCTTAAGTGACCTAAAAACTAGACCTCCCCCCAATAATAACAGAGTGCCAACCTGAGCGAAAACTTCTGAGAGAACCCTCGTGCTTAGTCACGGCCAACGGTGTGTTTAGGTTTGGCATCTTCAGCATCCTCACACCTCAAGCCCGGCGAGGCTGTAAAGGCCTTTTAAAAGCCAACAGTGATTTATTTCTCATAAAGAAAAAATAGCTTCGACGTAGAATTGAATGTTTTTTACCAACCCGAAAATTTATTATTTACATAAACATTGCAAATGCAGTCAAGATCCTTCAACTGTAAAAGTAATTGATTTGAGTCCGATCTATCTTAACTCTCATGCACACAGCGCGAGCGCTTGGATCTGATTTTTTTGTGTCACGTCTACAATTCCTAAGAACGATGCTTTGCTCGCAGCTTCTCCGGTAGCCGTCAGCAAGGTGGCGTACACGACCAGTCACGGCGGATACGGCGGATATGGCGGATACGGCGGATACTCTGGTCTCGGCGGATACTCCGGTCTCGGCGGATATTCCGGCCTCGGTAAGTTGTTATTGAGAAGTGGAAACGAATTCGCGGCGTAGAAGTTAAACTTCGATAATTCGCTTATGACAGTAAATATTCACACGGCTTTTGTAATTATTGCGTGTGAATAAATTGTAATTTTCCCGTACACGTTTTAATTAGAGGCATGCAATTAAAAGTTTGCGATTTAAATATTTGTTTTTGATCTTCAAAGAGGGAACCAGTATGTATGACCAGAGCTGTGTCGATAACAATGACATTGTCAAGTTTTTTTTTTATGTTGATTTACACACAAGCTTGTCTGCGAGTACACCTGTATGTCTGACAATAAGAAATACAACTGCACATAAAGTTTAGTATTCCGCACTTAATTCTCGGGATCCAGGTAAGACATCCGCAACAATAGGTTTTATTCTCTTTATTGTGTTCACATCGCGTTATATACTCGTTTAGGTCACTAACCGAAGCGTCAGGTGCTATATAATAATTAATGTTTAAAACATATTTGTTTTACGCTCGATAGGCCAGCGTGATATCTTCAGTGTATAGGCCTATTCGTAGAGCATCTCATGACCTGTTTACTTTTCAGGATATGGTGGCTACTCCGGCCATGGTGGTTACTACAGCTCGCCGGTCTACAGCGGCTACGGTTACAGCGGCTACGGACAGGGTCTGGGAGGCTACGGCGGACTCGGCTACTACGGGCACCACTAACCGCCGCTCTTCTTCCTGTTTATCGTGTTCACATCGCGTAACATATTCGATTAGGTTACTACCCAAAGCGTCGGCTGTATAATTAGTTACGTGTTAATAAATATCTTGTTTTACGGGTCGCTCGATAGGCCGGCGTCATATCTCCACTTCGTAAGTGGTATTGTCAACTCGATCATTGTACAAAGAAACTGATGTCTGTGCCTTTGTAAATATGTAATAAAGCGTACATTTAAAATCGGCATTTCATTCCTCCCGAGTCCGCTGGAATCGTGAACGCAGTCGGCGTACGTGTCTGGTAAGAGGAGCGATGTCGCACAGGGCTGTCCACGACTCGAATTGTGTCGTAAAATGTCATAATAAAGTCACCACCTTGTTAAACAATATAAGATCCTGTTCTGTCAGACACGGCCTGTCAAGTGTGTGACTCCATCATGTCAAATGATATTACCTTACAGACCAAAATATCTAAACCTAAAAACTAGACGCCATTGACCACAAAATACAAATAATATAATTTGATCTTGATATACTTTTACAATTTAAGATCCCATTTATACATATTATGTAGTAAGACCTCTATCATGAGATATCCGAACTGCACGTGCCTACAATAGGAACATTTTCCTTCGGAATAATTTATTTTCTTCCCTCAATATTTATGTATCTAATTTTACTACCATCTGAAAATATTCCAAAGTGAATAAGAAAATATACAAAGAACCTTGAGAAACCCGCCTCTCTTAACCTGCTATCTCAATTTTCAAATTGGAGTAGATAAAGTGACTGTGCACAGTTAAACTCATCTCCCCAACGTTCAATTGTATTTCCAAACGCGAAAAACCTTTAAAAAACCTAAATGCCGATCCACATGTTTGGACTTTTAACGTAGCGTCATCTATTGGATACTTAACCAATCCACCCGATAAATTTAGCTTGGACCGCTGTATGTAAGAACCTTAAGGAACTAAGGGATAAATTATATAACTTTGTCATATAATAAAATATACATAATATAAAAAACATTGCGATTATAGATTGAGATATAAACTACTATCTCTAAAATATTATCAAACTGCACACAGTGTGCAATATTTTAATATAATCGGTTCATTAGTTTAGAAGGTCATCGCAGAAAAAACAGAGTGACAAGAAATTTTTATATATATATATAATCATATGTAAAGATTGACAAAATGGTAAAAATCCTAAAAAAACGGCAGCCCTACGCAGGCGACACCGAATGAAAAATTAAACGACAACTGAGAAATGTAATTCTTTTGTGTATAATCTTATACGAGAGCAGATGTCATAAAAGGACAATGTTTTACATTAAAAAAATTGGATGAACACTTTGTTTTTTTAAATTGTACGTTGGTAACATTCCGCTTAGAACCGAAACTGATGATTTACATCATAAATTAAGCACTTTCTTTTGATAAAATTATGTAAGGTTCATTAACGAGGTCAAAACACTCGTGTTTTGCCTATTTGCATTGCCAGACTCGGAGAAAATTAATGACGTAAATCTGCATCAAAACGTTTTTGTTTTAATTAGAGGGGTATGTCGTAATTAAACTAAAAAGAAATTTTCCAGAACTGACAACTTGAATTAATTTTATTTAATATTACAAAATAGCGTGCGTATTATATATACATCAACGAGCTTAAACAACAGTACCTGGAAGACTGAGTTTTTGAGTACCAGTTTTTTTGGTAAATCTAGTATTTTGGAAATAAAAAAAATAAAGAAAGCAATGATCTGGTATAGAAAAAAAGTAAAAAAAAAATAAGTGTGTAAATAATCGTGATACGAACCGCGGCCGTCTGTTTTGGGGCCGCCCGATTACCGAGTTATTATAAAATTTTATTTTGCGGCGAAATTTACCGTCATATTCGAATGATATTTTTTATTCCCTGAAAACAGGGATAAAAGGACATTGTCTAAAAACGAAACCGATGAAATGAAGCTAGATCGATTTTTCGCCCCCGAATCTACTCACATACTAAATTTCATGAAAATCGCCGGAAAAGGAGCCGTTTCCGAGATTCCGATTATAATATATATATACATATACAAGAATTGCTCGTTCAAAGGATAAGATAACATAAACAAACGCCTACCGATAAATACTAGCAATTCTCATTTAATGCATAACCATATACCTAAATTTACAGTTAAAGAAGTGCAATATAATAATTACAATATTAAATTAGCAGTTATCCTAACTAAATGTTCGCTACTAACGGGATATTTTCAAATGTTATCCTTTCTTTCTTTTATCTTCATATTTTCCAAAATACATTTTGCGATATGCATTTTTAATTATCCTTCCTAACGGGTCCAAAACAATGCTGTTACAGCGCAATATAGTCATATCGTCCTGAAGAACTGTCATGACAACAAACAAGTCCATATTCTTATTAACGAAAAACAAAACCGATTTCAAATGTCTCGGATGTGTATTCAATTTATAATTGATTTTCAGGAGTTGCCTAAGTAGCTCCGGAGACGAAGATCCATTAGCAATTAGATTGTATGGGACATGGGAAGCACCAGCTTTCAAATAATCACCATAATCCGTTCGAAAGTTATGAGGTAACAAGCATAAAAAATACAGTCGAATTGAGAACCTCCTTCTTTTTTGAAGGCGGTTGATAAATCCTCTTCAAAGCAAGAAGTGAGTATCTGAACGGGTGAGCCCCAGTACAGTCACCTCTGATCTGGAACTCTTGGAATCTATTATAACTTGGAAAACGGATCTTCTAATGCCATAAAAAAGGTAACTCATTCGTAATGACTTTGCACGGGGCTCCTCGAAGCGCTTTTATTTTTACATTCAGTCATTCCGTTCGAGAGCGGATGGCCCAACTCTCATTAGGTTGCAAGAATGAAAAATGTTTTATTCAGAAAACTGCCGCGGCAAAGGCGTGGGGAGCGTAATGGCAAACCTTGTTAGCACTCGGCTTTTTTATGTGCTTATGATATTTTCTGTGGGCCCATCGTGATGTGCATAATTGCAAGAAATCGTGATTTCTTGCATTTATGCCCATCAAAAATCAAGATGCAATGAAGTATCAGCCTATACATGTCCCACTGCTAGGCAAAGGCCTCCAGTGGGTACAGAGGGTATTATGGCATAGTCCACCACGGTACCCCACTGCTCGAAATATTCTTTTTTATTGTTATTATTTCGAAAATAGCAGTTTTCCTCGCGATGTTTTCCTTTACTGCTGAACACGTGATGATTCAGCAGTTAAAATTAACATTTTCATTGGTGCCGGCACCGTGGATCGAATTCAGGTAGCTAATTTGTATTTACGAGTAAATTGAACTAAAAGCGAACTAACTATAACTAAAACTATAAAAAACTAAGCTATATTCTGAAATTCCTGGTTCAAAGCGAAAGTACATTTATTTAGGCATACATTTTTTCTGGTCTCTTCTTACGTGAACAAATCCTAACACGTATTTTTGTACATTTAAAATATTAAAAGACTCACATACTTATACTTCGCAGGCTTTACAGCAGAAGAGAAAGTTGGTATAAAAGGTAATAAACGTCATTCTTACTCTGGGTTCAACTCTGAAGTGAATTTTTAAAATTCCAACATAGACCTTACGAATTTCTTGTTTACTCGAACACAAAACATTGCGATGTAAAACAATTTTAATTCTCTAATGCTATAAAGTGTTCGAAACGCCAAGAGGTTAAAAACAAAGTTAAATTAGATGGCTTACAGATTAGAATAACTTAAATTGCTAGATTAGCACAGTTACTAAGATATTGAAGATTGCGGTCGCGATTTCAATACCAGAACATGATGAGTTGTATAACCTTTACAAAGTGTCGACATTTCCATGTTTGGTAAACGTACTGTTCAAAGTTTTATACGAACAACACGAAATGTCTTTACCGTAAATTGGAATGTTACTAAAAAAAACTGGCCAAGTGCAAGTTGGACCTGCACACGAAGGTTTACCATTATCTATATAAACGGGGAAAAAATCACGTCTGTTATGTGAGAGCCCCGCTTAAATATTTTTTATTCCGTTTTTAATAAGGCAACCGAAGTACATCATGTGTGAAAATTTCATCTCTCTAACTATTACGGTTCATGAGATACGGCCTGGTGACAGACGGACAGACAAACAGACAGACAGACGGACAGACAGCGGAGTCTTAGTAATAGGGTCTCGTTGCACCCTTAATGTACGGAACCCTAAAAAAGCGTATCCGCGTATCATCAATTCCGCAACGTTTACAAGTTCTCGCAATGCAAAATCGAATCGGTGCTGTTTGAACTGAAGCGAGCAAGGATAATGTGGGGAAAGGTAACTTTGTGGCGGCTTTGTTGATCCAATACTCTACTTCTGTCGGTGCGAAAGTTTTGAACGCCGAAAGAAATGGCCGGGGAAGCGCGCCAGGGGGAGTTTTCACAGACCGCGCTGGATAAATAAAAAGTTGCCTTTGAATTTAAAACGGTTTCGGCGATACGTGTTCGCCGACTCTGAACGCGTGATAAATCGTTTCCTCCCCCCGACCCGTATTAAAATTCCAACTTGTTATGGAGAGACTGCTTGTATTAAAGTGTATCAATTCACTACACAGCGAATCACAAGTAACACAGTATTTTGTGTTTTTACATCTTCTCCTTTCGACTGAAACAAATATTTCTTTAAAATGTTGCTATTTTATCAACTATAAGGGGCAGTTTTAATGTTTCTATTTTAAGATATAAAACTTCGTATAAACTTCCGCATAAATGAGTAAGATCTACGAACAAGGGAATCGCTAATAATTATTTATATACACATAATGTGCCTTTTTCTCAAATATATATTATTGTGAAATAAAACCAATTGAGTTACTCTGTAAGGAAAATATTTTTATTAAACACTAGATATAAATCATTATTCTACTTATAATTATTGTAACTAATATAAACATAATTAATCTCATAAACATAATGCAGATGACTCCGTGGCGCAGTCGCCA